CCTGTAAAAATCGATAACTCTAGTAGTAGATCCGACGTGCCAGCTACCAACAACATGCGATCGTGTCCAGGTAACACGCGTGTGCATCAGCATGTATTCCGGTGACACACGCTCCATTAGGGCAGTTCAGATAAAGATGGTATTAGCACTGATTAGCATAAATACGAGGGGATGTTGAGGGACAAATCTTGTGTAAAATACATTATAATGATACACAGTAGATTCTAAGCACAGTAATGGTTCAAGAACTTAGTCGGAATTCGTCCTTTCTCTTCACGTTGAGCCTTCAGCTGAGCCAAATGTGCTTGCCACAAACCGTCAGTACCTAGAACGCAGATACGGCGCAGGTTCGATCCTCGGCACTACCATGTATTTTGTCTAAAAAGCCTATATTCCCATAATTGACGTTGAACTTCTGATGATGGAAATCGTGGAAGTCAGGCTGGTGGTCGAACCACATTATCCACGGCCATCTGAAGCAAATCTCGATTCCGTCACTGCGCCACAAAATTACATACCGTATGCCACTGTGGTGGCCTTCTGTCCCGAGTACCGCATATATAGACCATAAGAGAAATGTCGCTGAGAAAAATACCAATCGCGCACTTCATTTTATACAAAAAATTTCGCGACACAATTCCGCAACACAGAAAATAACGCCTCGAGAAAATACAAATTTCCCAAGTATTACAGCAATGCGAGCCGAGGAAGAAGGCTCCAGCTCCCAGAGGAATGAAGTCAGCGATGAGCAATTCCAATGGGTGGCAATACCTACATACCACTCCTCGAACGAATCACGCATATCAGCGGTCTTATTACAATGACGCAAATGCATTGGGGGCCGGGTACTCATGGTGAACCTTGTGAATCTTCTTATACAAAAACGGACTCGCATGGAATAACCAATGGCCGTAGAAGAATAGAAACTCGTTCACTAGGATGAAATAACTGAACAAAAATACGGTACTGCAGGATTCACCATCTTCGGTCGCTTGTGTCAAGAATAGTTCGCGAATTGCTGTTGTACCGAATAGCGATTCGAGATTAGCGCTCGCGAATTGAGCGAATAGTTGCTGGAATAGCATGTGATGCAGTAGTTATACGCTACTACTACTACTACTACTACTACTACTACTACTACTACTACTACTACCACTACCACTACTACCACTACTACCACTACTACCACTACTACTACTACTACTACTACTACTACCACTACTACCACTACTACTACCACTACTACTACTACTACTACTACTACTACTACTACTACTACTACTACTACTACTATCCTAGGATCACCGTCCTGCAATGCATCACCCATGTGTTTTATGTTCAGTACTACATCATTTGGACTGCAATCTCAAGCTTCGAGGGTAGTCGCTCAGAATCCATATCCACAAACAGACCTAGACGATCACGATACTGTTGCAAGCACACGCAGCCGAGGCCAATCAGTGGCACTAGCACAATCGTGTTTAGGGCACATACCCGTATCAACCTGTGAGTGACTTAACCATCAAATTTTCATCGCATCACATCATTTTTACTTGTGGAATTTCGGATCCCCAGGCAACAACCGTCTCGAAGGTTGCAGTACCCTTCCCTTCACTGGAGAGAGGTCGAAGTACTCTATAACGTAGTCTGCGGTGGAGCCCAGCCAGAATGTACAAAATATGATACCAGGAACAACCAATATCTGTAAACACGCACATTGTGGAAATTCCATTCAACGTTTTATTACCATAAACGTCCATTCGTTGACATAAATCAGCATAGTTCTAACTAAAATACTATAGACCTGCATACAAGCTCAAAACAATGACATGTATGCTTTCAGTACACATACGTGCATTGGAATGATGGCAAGTATAGCAGCTACAGTCACGACCAACGGCCCAGGTAGGGGGGCCTCGGCTAGCACCAGGAATAAGAGGAAGGATCCGCATGCATCAGCAACAACGTTCCCTGTTGTCCTGAAATCAGATTACTGCGAGAGTTCGGAATAATTTTCTCACCCATAACCGTTGAGATCGAGCCCTATAGCCAGTGCACATCGCCGTATAATCGTCGGAGCGAACCACAGTGCTATGAGAAATCCCATGCAAGGGAGTACCACGGGCATAGCCTCGTGGCTTTTCACGTGACGTTTTTCCTCACGAGTTTCTACTATAGCACTACTACAGGCGTCTCTACCTAGCGCCCATAATACACGATGGTGAACCGTACCCAGTCCGCTGACGAGGGTGGCCATGGTAGCAGTAGTTAAACTTCACGCGCCACGAAATAATCCCACTCTTGACAACTCGAAACTCCCATTGATGAAACTGCAAAGGCCTACAGAGCAGAGAGCCGTCCGTCTAAACGCGTTTCAGTGACAGCCAGTAACCCTCTTGATATGACTAACGCACTCCACCTACGCATGCCACAATGAAGTTCTTACGCGCTACGAGAATTGTCACGCGCCACGATAATACTCGCGCGCCATCGGAAGTACACAGCAATTGTGGGTTGTTTCATGACGACCATCACATTGGCTACATTGGCATTTCCTTACAAGAAAGTGTATTGCGCTGAGTGCGGCCACCTGGTCGCCTCTGTCCTGGTCGTGATCAGATGAGAAATGATGGGGAATTAAGAAAAGAAGAAAAAGGAATTAAGAGTCGTGGTCGTGGAATTGATCCTACTTTGTTTTGTGAATCCCTTACTACGATTGAACGCCCGGCAGTGTGATGCACGCCACGCTCTCGGAATTGGTGGGACGTTTTATCCTGGGAATAATCAGTACCATCAAACTCATCGACTTTACCCGGCGTCAACCGGAGTATCCCAATGGAATCGTTCTGGAGTTCAGCAGAGGCCCGAGTCTGTCTCGAGAGTGAAAGGCTCTGCCATTTCTCGGGCATCGTCTTAGTTGAGACCAATGTTGCGCTCCCTAGCCTAGTGGAAGGCTGATGTACTTCGGGAGTTGCCATGTTGGGACTGCACTGTTTCCATTCCTAAACCGATGTAGTCGAGCCCATAGTTATCCAACAACCAAACACAGCTCATGGGAATAGTTGGTTATTGGAAGTACTTACCAAAATCGAGAGTATTATCTGTTCACATGAGGAAATGAGAAATGCAAAAAGTGTCGGATTTCAAGGAATGCTCCAGCCGAGGGGCTATACACGAAAGCCATTTCGTCCATATAATGTATTCCATCTTGGCTGTTTCGCACCTCTACTGCTCGACAACGCTGAATGCGAAACATACCAGAGGAATATCGGATCGTGGTGTGATGCTTTGGTATCGACCTCTATGGTGTGGCTGTTTGGTCTAGAGGTTAAGATTCTGCCTTTGGGCGGTAGAGGCCTGGGTTCGACTCCCAGAACAGCCATGTTCATGCGTGCATTCGGTACACTGCCCCAGCACTTGCATGTCGAATTGCGTTGCGCCTCAATTTCCTGCTCACACAGCATTTTTGCTGACTGACAGCTCGTTGTGTGGTCGACAGAGCATAAGCAAAGATTTGCAGCAGCACATGTCGAGTGGGAGCAGGCTCGTCACTAAACTCATAGACACGTGGGAGTTCAAACAAAGCTTGGGGGTAGCCCATTGAGGATCATGAATGTGTGCCGAATCACTGGCTTAGCAGTGCTCTTGTTTCCTCTTGCATATCTGTTGTGTTTAGCAGTAACGTGGATGGAAATAACACGATTGTTGTTTGACGACTTTGTTACGATGTGTTCGGGCATCTACTCGACGCCCCGTGGATGTGGAGACACAATGATTTTCCCAGGTTCAGAAATCAGCTGGATTTATCGCAATGTTCACCGATGAGTAAAGCTGACCGACAGTCCGCTCGATCAGCATCTTCAGACATATGTATATGTTAGTGCATCCGCGGGCAGCATTTTTGTGATATGTCCAACTTCGGGTTTGGCTCTCAAGGGTTGAGTCAGTCCAGCGATTCCAATTCCTTCTATGCTGGGAAGTAGGCCATTTATGAGACATCGTCACTGATGCCCCATCAGGATCCTCGGCACGCCAATAAGGGTTAACTATTGGTTGGTGGCTCTGTTTGCCTACCAGGTGTTACAGGCCTTGGGAAGTGGCCAGCCAAGCATGTATGCGATTCTCATGGCAGTTGGTAAGGAGGGAATTTTAACCCTTATTAATCGCCGTATTGTCATAGGTTTTCAAGCGATATTACAAGTGACTGTACTTTGTCACGAATTCGGTCATGGTACCATGGCTCGATACCTAGGCGGTAGCATCAGTTACATCCTCCTATGGCC